CCTCTGACTGGCTGAAATCTCCAATGTCCAGCCACCCATGTGTACTGGACTGTCCACTCAGATGACCGACAGGGATCACTGAATAGGCATTATTATTAAAATGATACCAATAATGATTTATCGTTTTGCATATATCAAGTGACCAAACAATATCATCTAGTGTATGCGTTTGTTTCTCATTCTGACCTCGAATCTATCCATGTCGGGAACGAATCTGTGCAGCTCTGCCTGGCTCTTGTGCAGTTGTGGTGTCTGTTGCTCTAGGATCGCAATATTCCACACCGTAACATGTATCGAAGCATGTGACATTAATGGTCAATTGAAGACATTGCATTCACATTGTTGCATTGTTATCCTATATGTAAATGAGGAAGGGCAAAGAAATAGTAAGTACACTTATTTCATTTCATAATAAGTGACAATAACTAGCTGGTTTATATTTTAAATTTTGTTACACAATTGTTTCAATCAATGCATTTTAATAAGTTTTCAAAATTTATTTTTTTGCCTTGGGCTTATCACTTCATTTCCAAGCATACATATGGTGCTTCACCCAATACATTAAAATAATCAGACAATTTTACTGTAATAGATAGGACAATTATTTTTTTGGATTTTTTTTTATTCATTAGTGTAATTACATGGCTCGTTTTTTATCGAGTTGATTAATTTGATTTAAAGCTATTACAATGTCCATTGTTTTCAATGTAAAATTTCAAATTAGGAATTGATGCTGTCGTCCTTCGTTCCCGAATTCTTTACTAATCAACAGGGTTAAAATCTGTTCGTATGACATAAAGTGGCAATGTTTTGAAATTTATCCATTTCCGTGGTTTCATTTCATTTGGGCTTTTAATGTCTTTTAGTGTGAAAGTATGGCTTGTAAGTCTATGGGGACAGTTCTGTGTTATTGTATGCACTTCCCTTTGTATTTTAACTCCAGAAAATTGTCCACAGTTTAAATTACACTCTGTATTTCCTGCTTCATTTACCATTTGCTGGAATTAAATTGCTATGTCCCCAGCCGTTGCTACCAGTCCCTCATCTGAACATCGGCACATCTGACCGTTGACCTATAGCAAAGTCACATGACCATATCAGTGTGAGTGATAAGTCACAACGTTTCACAGGCAAAAACATCACAAGTAGATGGGTACAGAATTGAGCATTGTAATTTTTTTTGACTGGCATATGCTACTAGAATCTGTTGTATCATATTTCGTCCGCCCAGTATTAAATGATTGATTGACGGAGCTTTGAATATTAACAGGCGACTTCACTTGAATCGTTGATATCTAGACCGGAGATGCAATAAGAGGTGTCTCTATAGAAATCAGTGTATAAATACATCACGTAAATATCAGTGGCTGGTATGATGGATGTCAGAGCGAATCCTTCTCTTTATTTATACGTTCTAGTGTGTTGGGAATTCATCCCATTTTTTACGATCCCAACATTTATCCAAACCAGCGTATCATAACTTTTTTATTGTTTTTTTTTTTTTTTTTATAATTCATTGAACATAAGGTCGGTTGCACGACGGCCCATACACATTTTCGATAAAGTTCAATATCCACTGCAGAAAGACGCACTTGACTTTCGTGTGTGTACGGGAGAGCTAACAGTATTTAATAATGTCAAATATTCTCAGTATTTATTTGTAATTAAAGAAATCAATGAATCAGTGACTAACACAGTTATCGTATCAGATAAATAGGGCATCTTCAGATTAGATTGTGTTGAGTCGAAATAGTTTATAAAGTTTATGGCAGTTTATTAGGTTTGTGTCAAGTTGAGACAGTTAATAAGGTTTGTGTCAGGTTAAGACAGTTAATAAGGTTTGTGTCAGGTTAAGACAGTTGATAAATTTTGTGTCAGGTTAAGACAGTTAATAAGGTTTGTGTCAGGTTAAGACAGTATAATAGGTTTGTGTCAGGTGATGATTTTCAATCTGCTTTGTATCGGGTTAAACTTCACATCAGATTTATATCAGGTTAAAACACTGTAGAATCTGATGACATTATACACCTACGTATATGTGGTATTGTTATGTGTCTTGGATTGACCTGCTTCCTGAACCAATCTAATTTTGAATTGTAACGTATTGAGATCTTCTCTTGTAACGGTTTACTTGTCTGTGATGTGTCAGCATATCTGATGTTCTAAGCTGAGGGATAATATGTCTAACAAAATTTGAAGGTTAAAGGGATGAAATTTAATAGTCTTTCCATAGGTGCTATCTAACGTTTTTGCTCACAGAATGGAAAAGTAAATACCAAAATGACACTAATGCTTGATTATTGTACAATTGTTTACCTCAGTTTTACTTGGCTATAATTGTGCTAAAACATTTGACCTTGCCGATAGGATTATAAACTGAACCCATTTCTCACCCTCTCCTACCAGTCCGTGTGTGCAAAAACTAACCCTCATTAATCCTACGCTGGAACAGTTTCTGCAGCAGAAAAATCCACCTCCTTCTCCCGGATATCTTCACACCAACCGAGAGCGCCCAGATAACAAATATTAATATGGGTATATTGAAGCAAACTCTTCTTTCTTGGCACTTGTACACCAGGGTTAGGTCAGCGAGGTTGGGCGCATTTGGTTGGAAACCGTGTCATCACTCTGGAGCTCACTTTGATTATGCAGATAATGCTAAGGCTAATGGGTCCCTCCTTGAAGGGGGCGACTTACAAAGCTATCATGCTTTAGGCCATTCAGCAGCCCTGTATCACGCTAATTAAAATCTAAATTGAAGGATTTCTAATCATTAAAGATCGCAAGTATATTGATTTTATTGGGATACACTTGGTTGTGATTTTCTGCTCATTTGTGGCAAAGGTAATCGGGTATGAAAATGGTGTAAGGGTAGATTAGTGACTGGCGTGTTGTTGACAGTTATTTGAAGGTCATGCATTTTCAATAAGACAAATTGGACTGGAAAAACGATGTCTGGTTGTTAACCTCTGGATTTGGCAGTATTCGGCATAGGAACAGTTGAATAATTTTACTGATAAAAAAATAACTGAAGTGACCAGGATATTTTTTTTTTGTATTGCTACAATTAAAAAGGAAATATATGAATATGCCAATTTAAACCTAAATAAAAATTAAGAAACATGGATGTGAAAATAGGTGTTTAAATGAACTAAAAGTAATTACTGGGTACATGTCTCACAAGTTCACAAGAAATTTTAACAACAGAAAGATTTATGAAAGAGGAAAACGTAATATAAAGTAAATAAGTATAGATGGTATGTAGATAATGGTATCAGATTTTTCTCTTCTTCATCATCCTTTATTTGAGACCACAAGATTATCTTCCATCTTAAACATCTTGATGCTGGTGCTTATGAATCGAAGGATACGCAGAGCCTCTCTGTACGGTTTGACCGTAATCGTAAAAATGGACCCTAAACATGCCACTACTGCATAAATACATTTACATCAGCGAGTACATTGTACAATCTTGGGAATTGAACATTTTCCTACCAAACTAGGTCTCCTTAGTTTATGTGGAAATGGAATGCACATATTCGAAATTAATCCCGCTTTTTTCAAACGTATCTTTTAAAGATGGTGATAAATTTCAAATTATTTTTGCTTGTGGCCTTTGTGGGAAATTTCCTGCAAGATATTGTATCAATTTATAAAGCAATTTGCTTGAAAATCGTAAATTACGAATAGAAACTTAACAAACTACAGACCCATATTTAAACACCACTAAAGCTAGTGGGGAGTGATTTAGACGATTCATTAACATAGCAAGCACACGTTGGGGGATTTCTTGTATTGTAATCATCAGCAAGCTAACGCTAGACAATAGTGGCGAGGCATGCAATACAATGCACGATGCACTAACTTTGCAGAAATAAATTGAAGAAAAACCGGTCTCCGTTCTGACCCTGCTCATTTCCTGATTGTACAGTTTGGTTTTGAGAGAAAGTATTAAAATATCAAATGATGTTTTATTTTCAGAGGTAGGCCAATGTTATATTCCTGGAAATGTTTTGGGGTTGACTGTATGCCAGTTCTGTCTATATGATCAATACTCTTAAGACTGTTTGGCGGATGCAAAGCTACCACCTCATTGTTTAGTTTGTGTATTTTTTTTTGGTATCTGTTTGTGAATGAGAAAAAGGGTTGATGATGAAATAGTTCGTTTCTAGAAATTATGACTAGGTTGAAAAAGGACTTTTGCTTAATTTTGCTAATTTAAACTACATTTGAAATACTGACAAAAAAAGTTTAAATATTAAATGCAATAATTGAATTGAAGTTGTACGAAGTGATGTTTAAATCATTTACAGCTTGATCTGTGATTTCAAAGAAATTAACACTTCAAAAAGACATCAGAATTCATTTAAAAAATTAATTTATTCATTGTCATGAAAAAGCTGAATTGATTTTGATTGATAACGGGAACGAGTCTGTCTGGAAACATTCTTGATTTAGTGTTCTTGGAGCTTAAACTCAGTCTTGTCTTACAGAGGTCTGACATAGCATTTGATATTTCAATTCTTAGTTGAATAAGAATGATATTTTCCATAAAAGGCACCTCAATGATTCCAGACATTGTAAAATAATTCATCCAGAGAATTTTTTTTAGATTTTATATCCATTGTGGAATTGAAACGGTTTGTCTGCAAGACATCTGGTTGACGTTGATGCTCACACGCTTTCAGGGAATTCTGTATAATTGATATGCTGTTGAATTTTCATTTTTTCTTCTGTAACCACAAACTGATTTCAAGAGGAGCAATGTATTGAATCTGTGGCATTTTAACAGAGGAATGCAAACATCTGCCAGGATAATCCAGATTTTTCATTTCCAGAAAATATTTCAAATCAGGATGTGGCTGGATACATATAAAAATTTTAGTCTTTCATTGTCATAGAATAGTTCATTTAGCCCAAAACAAAAGATTCCAAAATCATTGGTTTTTTCGAAGGTTCTAGATAACTTATAGTTAATGTTACGGTTTTTCTCGTTACAGTGGAACAAGAAAATGACCTGCTGCTCTGTGGCGAGTGCCAGACGAGCTTTCCACTACAGGATATACTCAAATTCATACGCCACAAGGTCAACAAGTGCAGTAAGAAAATTGTTGACGTGTTGGATTCGCCAGAGTATGAGGATGGTCCCCACTCAGACTCGGAGCAACACTGCGGAAGTATTAGCTCCAAAAGGACTAGTATCTCTGCCCCCATCTCTCTTAAAGAGGCCATCGAAAATAACAAATCGCCACGCTCCTCCATTGACTCACTCGGCTCTCTGAAGGACGTGAGAATCAAGGAGGAGAATGGTCACAGCCCCATGGAAGAGGACAAGCTCTTTGAACAAAAATTATCCCGGTCACCTCTCAAGCCCCGAAAGGTTGTGGATGCAGAGTCAAACACTACAAATACAGGTAAGTAAACCATCTGTTTAAATCATGTCTGTTCCTAAAGTTCTTGATTGGAAACAATCCATAGCAACTACAACAAAAAATGGGGGAATCGTATCTTTGCATCGAAAGCAATCCATTTCCATGTTAAGAAAAAACAAAAAACAAAAATAAAAAAACCAAACACAGACAATGCATAAATCTACATTGGAAACATTGGAAAAGATTCAGTGCTCAGTTTTTGTCGCGATTCATAAGCAGAAGTTTGTTTTTAAAGATAAAAGTGGTAAATGACATCAAATACATCACAGATTATTTTTATGCAGAAATTGTAAAAACTTGATGAAATAAAAGAATTCATTCACTGAAATACATCTTTGTTCAGAGTGCATTATCTGTCATTTGTCCAACTTTGTTTCCATTTTCAGTGCTTTAGATTTATTTTCAAAAATGAAATTACAGATAATGAACATATAAGATAAAATGAAGAAACCTGGTAACGTTTGGTGGAGGTTTGAAATTGTATTAGGAAGACTTAGCCTCTTTGTGAATACTGCGAAGATTTTGAAGCCATAACAGATTGTTTTGAGATAGTATAGTTGTTGATGTAACAGACGAGACCAACGAGGTAAAGAAGGTGTTGACTGTCACACTTTATCCAGTGGTGTTCAGTGTTTGTGTTAAAAGTAATTTCGGCTGAAATAAAATTGAACTTAATCATTCACAAAAACAAGTTTTAAAGTTCAAAACAATTCTTGACAAGTGTACTAGCACGATATTGACAGTTGTCTCACAGTGTTGTGTGATCACGTTTGTGAAGAAGATACAAATGTAGGTTAATTGAAAGCTTCCAAAAAATATCAATTTATAATTATTTCTGGTACGATTTCAGACATCTGCCATCATTCCATTACCTGTCGCGGCTTACTTTAAATATGTAATTAAATTATTTACCATTTTAAAATAAAGATGAGAGTGTGAGGTATAAATGATATTAGAAAAAGGCTTGGGACATGAGAAGTCGTCTCTCTGATTGGTGGGCTCTTAAGCCAAGGTAAGTGTTTCAAGCAGGTAAGTGGCAGTATTTTATTTATAGTGTCTTTTCCTCATCTCAAAGGAATTTTCAATATTGTTATAAGGGAATAGACAACCAACTGTATCGCAGTATTTGATTTATGACGTATTCAATTATACTTATCTTGAGAATGTTGGTTACTAGGAGGAAACTGTCTTAACCTAACATTTGCTAAATCAACATTTGTCTAAATCAGACTTATATCTAAATCAAACACTTGTCTGAATGGGACTTTTGTCTAAACCAAGCATCTCGCTGAATGAAACTTTTCTCCAAACCAGACTTCTATCCGAATCAAGCATTTGCCTGAATAGGACATCTGTCTAAATCAAGCATCTGTCTGAACAAAACTTTTCTCTAAACTAGACTTCTCTCTAAACAAGACTGAATTGAAATAAAATCATTCAGATTGTCAAATCCTCCAGAATCCAGTTTGGGCAGTGTCTGATAAATCACATATTTATTGAAATACAGAATGAAGCTATCCACATCAAATTGGGGGCCATGCTTTTTGGGTTTATTTTTTAACAATTCTTTATATATATTAATGAATTATTTTAAAAAAAAGAAGATCTTCAGCTAATTTCAATAGTGAGACATCATGGAAAAATGATTTATACCTTAATGACAGATACCAGTACATCTCAATAACCACTTTTCACGTTTCTGGTGTTTTTGATGATCTAGAGATGTAATGAATCATATTACTACAAGATTCTCACAGGATGTCCTATGTCATGTAAGACCCGTGAAATTATCACTCAATATTCTGATGAACCTGTCTGTATATCTCACCATTGATGAAAGCCATCGTCATCATTGGGGAGAAAGCTGAGAGAAGGGATGGGGGGGGGGGAGATGGTGGGGGGAATCATTGTGGAACGCTGTACTCTTTGGCCAGTCTGTACACATGACAGTTGTTATACACACAAATATTAATACTGTGCACAGCGATTACATAAAAGCCTCATACTTATTACATGTGCTTGTGTACATTTGGAAAAAATATACAGGGCGTAATGATATAGTCTGGTTCCCATCATAGTAATGGCCATCTTTAATTAAACAAACGGAGGTTCACTGGCGTTGGCATGCTACAGTTGCTTCATCCACATGCCCCCCTCCCCCTCCTACATATGAGGGGAGGAGGACGAGAGGCCGACAGCACTGTAGGACGGTATGATCACTCTAGCTGGCTTGTGGCCTTGCGCGCTGGCAAACTCACACTCGCCAAATCTATCTACATACCCGGTAAATGGCACCATAGGCCAGACCACTTCCACAGTAGGGAAAAAGCTTCCTTTAGGCTGTCCTGAAGATATACCAGACACGCAGGCCAGACTAGTCCAAGAGTATGGATGCTAGACTGGACCAATCTAAAGGCATGCATACCAGGCCGCTTGTGTGGGAGTAACACACACTAGACTTAACTAATCTGAGGAAATTTGCGGTCAAATCTTTTGTATAGGTCATGTTGACTTATATATTGTTACCAAAGCAGCTAGTACACAAAACATTTAATTAGGTCTGATACTGCATCTTGCACCTCTATCATGATTGATTGACAATGATTGATTCATCATGATTGATTGATCATGATTGTTTGACGATGATTGATTGATCATGATTGATTGACCATGATTGATTGGTCAAATTTTTCTTGACCACTGGTCACATATCCAGCTCTTTTAAATGTGTGTTAAAACCACACACAGTTTTATTTGAGTCTCATTTGTGGAAGTCAATATATATCCCAACGAATGTCAAACCCCTTGCCCCTGGCTCTACGGGGTTCCGCCAAATGTCGAACCTCTAACTGTCAGGGCCCCCTACCAATGTCGAACCTTCTGTTTCCGAGACTCCCCCCTCCCTTCCCCTCCCCCTAATGTCAAACCCCCTGGCTCTGAGGTCCACATCTGCCTTACTAGCCGCTACCTTAGCTAATTAGTTCACAGAAAATGCATGTACTGCACATAGCTCTGCATAAGTGTACACAGCTGGCTGTAGCATCATAAAGCTAGCGTTTACATGTGTTACGCTATTAAAAATGTACACTTTTATGTTAATGTGAAAGGTGAGATTGAGGTGAACTGTCCAAGACTTTTAAGATGAATGCTAGTATTAGGATTGCACATTAGATCCTAATAGATGAAAGAAACTCATAATTGAAAGTTATTTCTTTGCGAATGTATTTTATATTATACTCTGAAGGAGATTACATATTCTAGCAGATAACTCCACCTGCGTCAATAACAAAATGGTCATGATTTTCACGCGGGACAATCTGATGATCTATCTGTTCCTACTAAGAATAACAATTTAGTGGAGGTATCTAGAAAGTAAATAATACAACGTGGACCTCGGGAAAAATGTGAGGGGTGGGGGAGAAAAGGATGGTGAAGCAATACATCTCAAAGAGCCCTAATCAGATGATAGAGGAGATACTGAAGGTAGAGATATCAGTTGGGCTGAGTGATGCTAGCCAGGGGAAAAGTTTCCACCAATTTTTTATGAGAAGGGGATCAGCTAGAAGCTTGAAGGTGAATCACACACGGTGGAGCCCCCCAAACATATGATGTAACTCGGGTTTGGCAAGAGATCGGGGCACTGATACAAACTCTACCCAACAGCCAGACTAGACCAGGTCTTCCCTTTCAATTAGCCTTTCCTCTACAGACAGTATTAGTTATACAGGTGATACACCTGGTACTCTGCCTAGAATACAAAATCAACAATAAATAGCAACAACAAAAAACCAACTACAGTAGCAACAACAACAATAACAACATTAATGACAACAAAAACCAACAACAACAAACAACAGCATTAAAAACAACAAAAACAACAACAACAAAAGCAACAAAATACAACATCATCAATGACAACAAAAACCAACAAGAGCAACATCAACTGTCTGTCATATTGTTTAATGTTGATTAGATACCAAGTATAGAAATTAGAATATTCTATGTGTAGGTTTATATATCTATAAATTATGGTCGTGACGATAGGTTTCGGTCCTTGACAAATACTTTAATTGCTCTTGATATTATACACAGGAGGTCATCTCGGCCTATTCTAAAGGAACCGTCTGTGTTAAATGATATGTAAATATTCCTCCCATTGACCAAGATAGATGGCCTAGATAGGCGAATTAAATGTGAAGTTCTGGGACAGGACACCTTGACCACGTGCGTGACCGAGTGGTCAGCTACCCCAAGTCCAAGGTGACCTTACCAATACACCTGATTGACCGGGTGATCTAACGAGTTACCTGGGTGAGTCATTGTATGTCCCTAAATAACCCAATTATTGCCAGCTCTCATTACAAGCGATAACGTAGACTGTCGCCTATTATGTGTGGTATCACAGTGGTCATAAGCTAGCTAAAACCTGTTCTGAATATAACGCCGGACCAGTAGATTTGCATTGCACAGGTATGTCCAGGTAAAACTAGGCCTTGTGTACATAAGGAATGTTTTAGCCTATAGTTGGCCGACAATCCCAATACACGTTTTCCTGATCAGGGCCACACTGACCTGTTAGTATGGGTCAGTTTGGACCAGACAATCTCAATACACGTTTTCCTGATCAGGGCCACACTGACCTGTTTGTATGGGTCAACTCAGGCAAGATGATCTCAATATGGTTTTCCTGGTCTTGTCTACACTAATCTGGTGGTAACTTTTGGTCATCTAAGGCTATGCAATATTAACACTAATTTTCTTGACCAAATCTTGGCTACACTGTAGGTCATATCAGGCCAGACTATCTCTATCAGTGCCACACTGACCCACCACCAATGCTTTGTCCCAGTCAGTGTGTTATACTGACCAATAGGAGGTCACTTCAGGCCAGGCAACCAAGATATTGATCCATACTGACCAGACAAATGATGGACCATTATAGAACTGCATACTGACCAGTCGCTGACCACTGATACCTTACA